CATCCCATACTTGTTGTTTCCAGGGGATGAGTATTGTGTCAGGTTCCTTTCCAAAGTGTTGAAGGGTCATATTACGTAGGCATCCTATGAGGTCTGCTATAACAGCAACTATGGTAACAAAGGTGGACTTGTTGGTATTTTGGCAAGCCCAGGCTAAAGGCGCAGGCTTGCCGTCCGTGCCTTGAAATAGGATTACTGTTGTGCCATGGTTAGAAATAAAACACCCTGTTATGATAGGATGTTTTGAATCCCATCGATGGAAAGGTCTCTGTTGTCATAAAATAGTTTGTAAAAGTGCTAAATTGTCCTGGCACTCCTTTGTGAGTTTCTTTGGTTCCCACAAGTGTTGCCCTTTCAGCAATTCATAAAAGGGTTGCATAAATCCTAAAGGAATACAGATAAAGGTGCAGAGCCACTGCAAGGCTCCTACTAATTTCTGAACATCATGTAGAGTGGCAATGTGTGGAGCAAGAGCTATTGGTTGTGGACTTATGTCGTTCCCAGCTAAAGTTATACCCAGATATTGTAATTGTGTACCTCGCTGGATTTTTGCCTTGGCAATGCTCAAATTATGTTGTTGGAACAAGGCTTTGGCATGCTGGAACAGGTGTTCCACTTTCTACTCTGTAGGTGCTGCTGATAATGTCATCCATATAGTGTACCACATAATGGTCAGTCTTACCTTCTCTCAATGGTGCGATGGCTTTGGCCACATACAGCTGACAAATGACAGGTGAGTTTTACATACCTTTAGGTAGTACAGTCCATTGCCAACGTGAACTGGTTGTGCGAGGTTCACAGAAGGCACAGTAAAGGCAAATCTTTCTTTGTTGGCAGGATGTAAAGGGATGCTGAAAAAACAATCTTTGATATCAATAGTCACAATGGACCAATCTTTTGGTATGGTGGAACCCCAGGGCAGTCCAGGTTGCAGGGCATCCATTGCCTGCATCTGTTGATTTACAGCCCTGAGGTCATGGAGTCAGCGCCACTTAGTCTTATCTTTCTTTTGGATAACGAACACAGGAGCATTCCAAGGGCTTGTAGAGCGTTCCAAATGACCCACCTGTACGTGTCTTTCTACTAATCGTTGAAGTGCACTTAGTTTTACTGAATTAAGCGGCCAGTGGTCGACCCACACGAGTGAAGAAGTTAACCATGTAAGTTTTAAGGCTGGTATGTGTTCGGCAGTGGCCTCTAATCTAAATTTGTAATGCCAATTTTCATTTGTTGCATGCAGTCACGGCCCAACAAAACTCCCTGAAAATTTGGTAATACTATAGGCTTTAGTATTGCAATCAAGGCCCCTTTCTTCTGGTCTTGGATTTTAAATGTTGTGTCGGTGATTGCTTGGTACACTGGTTTTTCTCCTCCGACACCTGGCACAAATCCCCCAAATGTAGTTTTCCACTGTCCTGGCCACCTTTTTTTTTGCCCACAACTGTTATATCAGCTCCTGAATCAATCATGGCCTGCAGCACTATTTCTTCTGTTCTTCCTGGGTGAGGCTGGCTCATCCAAACGGTGACCATGGGCTTATCGCTACAATCTAAAACGAGAGCCACAGTTCCTGGCCCTGAGGCACGTCTTGTGGACATTTGTGAGCATACTTGACTGTCACTTGGGGAGTATAGGAAAAGTTGTCTCTGATTTTTGGAGGTTACTTGCAGGGCATGGGAGGAGCTTGGCCCCCATTCCTAGCTCCTCCCCTTTCATTTACCTAATGTTTATACCAACAATCTCATGCCCAATGATCTGTTTTGTCGCATACCCATCAAGGTGCAGTTATCAAGGAAAGTGGTTCTTGTTGCTTCATCCGATGAGATCTTTTATGAACACCAGAGAGGTTTTTTTG